GCTCCCGCGGCAAGGTGAGTCCGCCGGGCGCCTGCCCGAGGCCCGGGACGCGCGGCCTGTGCGGGCAGCACCACGCCGGCGCTGGTGGAATTTACCTGGTGGTGGAATTGCTCACATTACTCGTTGGTAGAATTGCCTTACTGAGGTTTAGGGCTTGACGTCTTTCAGCGATCTCAGTTCTAGGGGCAGGTTAGGAAAGCTTGGAGAGAAGGATGTACTGTTAGCAGTGGACGCAAAGAACGCAGAATTCACGGGCCAGAAGGACATTTGACAGAACTCCCAGGATAAAGAAGGAACTAACAAAGCCAGCTCAGCAAGTGTGCTGAAATCGGCTCTGGCTGGGTAAAAAGGTAATTCTGGCAGGGGGAGATCACGACCCAAGACACTCACCAACTCAAGAGAAAGAGACCATGCTGGCTAGCTAGCATAAGAAGTGAGGGAATCATTTAACCAATAGAACACTAATTAAAAGACAACTAAGTAACTTTCAGGCAGCAGATATTAATGCCTTTATTTGCTACAATTCATAAATAGTACAAAGTTTTGATAGTTGTTTGCTGGCTTTGTGGATTTTCCACCAAGTGCCCCTTTCTGCACAGAACTATAAATAAATAAAACTTTGACTGTTGCGTATGGATTGGCTTCTTGCACACTGTAGCATCCTTTTCCACTGTTTGCTTACTCCTTATGATAAGGTCACTACTTGCTGAGTCTCTAGGTAATAGCTCTGCATTCATATCATGCTTGTGAATAATGATGTTCATAATGTTCCCCTTAATCCAGTTTTCTTAATCCTTAGGTTTATTAGTTTTACAAATGTAAAACTGTTAAACAAAGTTTTACAGCTCCCTATGTACATAAGAACATAGTATCTTTCACACACTTTACAGCGTAGTTCATGATTGTTTAGTGATAAAAAATATATATGTCTGTATGACTAGAGTGAAATACTGACATTTTAAACAATGGTGACAATTCAAGTTTTTGTATCTATTCAGCCTGAGCTTCTTACAGAGAAAAATTATTAAAAGAATTAATTTGGTTTTCTAAAGGCCAGGTCATATGGTATATAGAGACTTGATTTATGAAAAGAAATTTCTGTTTTTCAGGACATAGTAGATATGTCAGCGTATCCTGTTGAAAGAATTAGAAACTTCAGTATTATAGCTCATGTAGATCATGGCAAAAGTACACTAGCAGACAGATTGCTGGAAATTACAGGTAAGCATTTGCATTTTATACTACCTTTTATTGACATGGAAGATGGCATCTTAAGTTTCTGTACCTTTGGTTATTACTAAAATTCCTAATATTTTTTGGTCTTCTAGTGTTGCTTGTGCTTTTAGGCTCTCAGTTGTGTAGTGTTACAGATATATGGATTTTGTGGTTGAGATCTGCCTATACGTAGGTGTAAGGAAGTGTATAATTCATTTAAAGAGGTACATATTTTGGAAGGAAACTGAGAAGTTTAATTCCTTGTTCAGGCTTACTCCTGTCTTTCCAATCAGTCATCCATTAAATCAGTACATGGCAAATTTGTGATGTTTATTGCCAGTGGTTAGGGTGGACTGAAAGGGTGGGACTGTCGTGACCTGAGAGTTTGGACTCATTTAAGGATGAACAAAATAAAACCAGGGAGAGAAACTTCTGATCAAAGTTTTTTTTATGATAACCTCCCATGTATCACTATGAGCATTTTTGCCTGAGGACTGAGATAGGATGTGATTTTGAATTCAGATCTGTCACTCTATGCTAGTGCTCGTCTGGCACTTGAGATTGGTCTTAGAGCTGTGGGCCACTCCTCTCAAGTGATAGGAGGGGAATTTTCTTTGAGTATCAAAATTATTTACAATTCAAGGGAATTTTTGCTTCTTAATCTCTTAGAGGGTGTTTTTTAATTCTGTTTATTCAGAGTAGGAATTTTTTATTGCTTTAACGTGTAAACTTTATTTGACAAATGTAAAGAGTTGAATGGTTTTGTTTTTGATTGAAAATCTTAGTTTAGCTTAATTGTATGGGAAAGCTTAATTTACTCTTGGTTAACTCTTGGTTAATGGCATTTTCAAGATTTATGCAGTAAATTAGTAAAGCACTTTTTTTTTCTTTTTTATAGGAACAATTTCTAAAACTGACCATAATAAACAAGTGCTGGATAAGCTGCAAGTGGAACGTGAAAGAGGAATTACAGTTAAAGCTCAATCTGCATCTCTCTTTTACAATCATGAAGGCATAAACTACCTCTTAAATCTTATTGACACGCCTGTAAGTTAAATAAAAACAGTGTTGAAATCACACAAATCTAAGTGCCTTTATAGTTAAAAGTAGGAGATTTTTGGCATATTGTGTTTACTGAATTCCTCTTTTATAAGAATATGAATGTATATACAAATGAAAACAACATAGTACAGAAATCTTTGCAAAAGACTCTAGAAAAACTTGAAATTGTAAACATCTGTTTTTTCCACAGGGCCATGTAGATTTCAGCTATGAAGTATCACGGTCACTATCTGCCTGTCAAGGTGTCATACTTGTAGTGGATGCAAATGAGGTGTAGTACTTAATTCTTGTTTTCTGTTTAGTATTTCAGTATTTCCTTAAGCTAGAGTGAAACTGACTAGGTGTTGGGTTTTTTTTCAGTTTTTCCACTAAAGTTTTTGCTTCTGGTCTATCTCCTTAAAACTATTAGGTTGCAAAAAAAGAGTAATGGGAGTTAAAAAACTCTCAAGAGATAGATAGTTGTATTAACAGATACCAGAGTTCTATGACATAATAATAGCACAGAATCAATTAGTGAAGAATCAGATCCTGTTTTTTAGAGAGTATGAATTTTGCAAATGGCAGCCTGGAGGACTTCTAGCTATTGTACTGACACCCATTGGAGTATCTTCAGTTAACAGACTAGATTATGAGGATTATAAAATCATGATTTTAAAGATGAGCATATTATCACTAAAATACTTTGTGAGAATTTTTTTTTGTGTCATATTTATGATTGAATTGTACAAGGGTCAAATGAGTGCTACTGTTTCCCATGTTATATTAAAAAACTCCAAACTAAGTAGTTATTTGTTACTTTTTAGTTACATCTAGTTACATTTTTAGTTACATTTGCTCCTTCTTAGCTTGAGGGGCAAGTGGACTTCCTGAGTAAGCTTCAGTAATAAATATGTTTTCCTAAATGTACTGTTGTTGTTTTTGTTTGCTTGGTTGTTGCTTTTTGTTTTTGTTTTTTTGGTTTTTTGATGTTACATTTAAATATAATGTGATTACTAGGTAGTCTTGGTATTTGGCCTTCAGTCAGAATGATTGCAAACTCAACTTTCTCATTATTATTTTTTTATACGTATTCTTTGTTGCTCCTTTATATAGCCTAAAATGTTAGGCCTGTATATTTGTAGTGAATATCCCCATATAAATAATCTTCCACTTGAACTGTTCTGAGTGAAGGGAAGATAATAAGTAGCTTCTGTTTTCCCCCTTCTCTAATCCCCCCATGTCCACTTCTGCCCTCACTTATCCAGCTGTGATATTATTGCTTTATAGTGTCGTTCATTAGCATCTTTATCTCTTTGTTTTTCCTTGTCTGGTACTTGGATCTGGAAGGGAATCTTCTTTCTTCTAATCAGAGCTATTGTTTTTGCCATTCTTTTGAAAGAAATGTGAGGTGCAAACTTTATAATTTGTTTTCTTTTATAAAAGTAACTGTATGGTAAGTTGAAGGTACATTCCTGCTCTGTGGAGTAGCTATAGTCTTATCACCATCATGAACATCTCTTTGTCAGAGTCCATTTGTAAATAGTTTACTGAGAGCCAAAAAGTCTGTTATTTATTTCTGAATAGCCATGATCATAGCATGCAGAAATATATGTACTTAGTTCATAATGTAAGCCTACTGTGTTACCTATAAATAATTCCATGAGAGTGGTCACAGATACAATATTATTGCTTTGTTTAATTATATTCAGATTACAAGAAAATACAATTAAGAAAGCTATTTTCTTTCTCAGCGGTTGCATATATTCAATCACTTTTTATTTATCCATCTCTTAAATGGAAGAGTTGAGAGAATAGAAAAGCAATCTTAAATTGTTTAGTATGCCTAAAAATATTCCCCAAAACTACACCATAACTGTGGAGGCTTCTGTGTTCAAATTTCATAATGTTATTTTCTAGGGTATTCAGGCTCAGACAGTGGCAAACTTCTATCTCGCCTTTGAAGCACAGCTTTCAATAATTCCTGTCATAAATAAGGTAATAAAGTTCTTAGCATTTTCTGTTAAATAGTTGGGTTGTTTAAATGTATCTAGGGTTGATCAGAAATGTAACCTTGCAGAGAAGTATATAGCAACGAAAGTTATTTGTTATAATATTTATTGGATTTCGATATAACATTACTAGAATGTAATAGGAATTTTCTGTATTTGCTATCTGTGTAAAATTTTACAGTAACTGCTGTGAAATTTTTAATTTCATGAAATACAGTTAGGTATTTAAAAATGTAGCACTTAAGGACATGATTACTGGCGGACTTTGCAGTGCTGGGTCTGTGATTGGAATTGGTGATGTTAAAATTTCATTAATATTGAGGAAATGACATAAGTAGGAGCTCAATATTTAAAAAGTAGAGTCTCAGTTTTAAATGAAATTTAAGTATTGTTTTCTATACTGTGGGGCTGCATTAGGGTTGTGTTACTGGAATCACAAGATTAATTACTGCTCAGCTTATGTAGATTTATACTGTACTTAATATGTGATCCTATAAACAGTGTAGGTAGTGTAGTAAATCACTTAATCATTTCAAATTACTTTGTAAACTAAAGATTTTTACTGACTCTTGGACAAAGGTTATTCCCTAATGAAATGAGCCAGAACTAGACTGGTTACAGATGGGAGCCTTCCTGAAATCAAGGAAGGAAGACTTTATAAAATGAATATTGATATTTTCCTAAAGATGGACAGTATTTAATCATAAATACTTAACAGTTCTTTTTTATACTTTTGAAAGCTACAGTACTGGATGATCACTGGGAGATGCGATTGGTTGTATATTTAGCAGTTTGTTGTTTTACAGATTGACTTGAAAAATGCCGACCCTGAAAGAGTTGAAAAACAAATTGAGAAACTGTTTGATATCCCTACAGATGAATGTATAAGGGTAAGATCTCTTAAGTTTTATAACATAGCTAATAATATAACTTTGTAACTAATGAATGACATGTGCATGTCATAAATTAAGAGAGTGCTATCTGTCTGCCTGTTCTTGTCTGACATAAGAATTTCTTTAAAGTTTGTCTCCTATAAGAGTGGAGAAAATAACTTTCAGCTAAAAATTCTAGTATATTTTGAGAAATGGAATCTGAGATTTTAAATTATTTCTCACTGTCAATCCATAAATGATTTTTGTTTCTATCATAAAAATAATTGTCATTCACAAAAGAAAAAACAGTATAATTTACAACCAAAGAAATATTTCTTGGTCATAGCATTCTAGAGTGTTAAGTATTTCTATGGGTAGTACTATCCCGTGGCCACCAAAACTGTCTAAGTAAACATGACACTATTTAATTAATAAGTGTAAAACTTATTAAGACTTATAAAATTGTTGTTGAATTTGTTTTAGATTTCTGCTAAACAAGGAACAAATGTTGAAAAAGTTCTTCAAAAGGTCATTGAGAAGGTCCCACCGTAAGTATATATTTAATTATGTGTATAATTAACCTTATAAAGTAATTAGAAAATTGTGAGCTGCATTTATGCGGTATTGGCAGTAGTTTTACACTTACTACGCATTTGATTTAGAGAAAATGCTTTATAGAGAGATGTAGGAGAAGCAGAAGGAAAATAATGGCTTGCACTTAAACAGGAGAGGTGAATTAGTCACCAGGGAGGCTGAAAAGCAGAGGTACATTTTCTTCATCTCTGTGTTTACCAGCACTGCTGGGCTTTAGGCCTGGGGAGCAAAATGCAGGTGGATACACAGATCCACTGTCAGCAAAGAAGGAGTTGGTATCTGAACTGTCACAGGAGCCTGACCCTTATGTATGCATAGGCCCTGATAGCATCCTCCTGAGGGTTGTAGAAGAGCTGGCTGTGTGTGTGCAAAGCTGCTCTTCTTCTTCTTTGAGAAGTCATGGAGATCAGGGGACATTCCAGAAGACTGGAAGAGCGCTAAAGTCCAATTTAATGTCCAAGAAGAGCTTAAAGGAGGATCCAGGAATTTATAGGCCCATCAGTCTTACTGCCATCCCTGGAAATGGTATGGAACAAATCCTCCTGGGGGCTATCGCAAGTCAGATGAAGTGATTGGGAAAAGTGAGCAGGGATTCGCCAAGGGCGTATCATGCTTGACAAACCTGATCACTTCCTACTGCACAGTAACCTGCTGTGTAGTGTGAGTGGTGGACACTGGTACTTGGATTTCTCACTACATGGATAAGTTTTTTGATAAGGTTTCTCACAGACTCCTGGAGAAGCCACTGTGTTAGTCTGGAGGGGTCTGTGTCATGAGTGGAGTGGCAGGCTGCACCCAGAGGGTGGTAGTAAATAGCTCCTTTTCAGACTGGCCACAAGTAGGATCTGCCAGGGTTCCACATTGTTCTCTATGCTATTTTATATCACCATAAGTGATCTGGAAGTTGGGATGTGTACCTTAGTGAAGTTTACCAGCAATACCAAAATGAGAGGGGAAGTAGACACTTCAGAAAGGGGGAGCAACTTTGCAGGAAGACCTAGATAGGCTGGAAGAGTGGGCTAGCAAGAACCTTATGAAATTCAGCAGAGGCAAAGGTTGTGCACCTGGGAATTCAGGAGCACAGCACAGGCTGGAATCTGCATAGCTGGGGAGCAGCTCTGTGGAAACAGACCCAGAGGTCTTTGTGGACAAAGTCAATATGAGTGAATAGTGTGCTGCTGTAGGAAAGAAAGACAGCAGCATGCTGGGTTGCCTCAACAAGGACATCACCAGCAGAGATGAAGTCATCCCAGAGAAGTTATGCCATTCTACTCAGTGGTGATCAGTCCACACGTGGAGTACTGTGTTCAGTTTTGGTCCCCGCTATGCAGAAAACGTGGACAGGCTGAAGAAGGGCCACAGAGATGATCAAAAGACTGGGAAACCTGCCCTTTGAGGAGAGGTTGAGAAAAATGGATTTATTCAGCCTTGAGAAAAGAACTAAAGAAAAAAGGGAGACCTTTTGTTGTGTTCTGGTATTTAAGTAGTAGCTACAAAGAGCCATTGGAATAAACTCTCCAGGAAAGTGGTGGATTCCCCCACATTGGACACTCTGATTTGTTTGGGCAGAGTGCTGGGCCATCTTGTTAAGCCTGTTTTTGCCAAGAAAAGTTGTATCAGGTGATACTGGAAATCCATTCCAACCTGGAAGGACTCTATGAAAGTGTTTAGGGTGGGTGTGCTTGCTTATTCAATATTGAATGAAAACACACTGCATAATACATTGTTTTAATTTTTTTTTGTGACAGACCCCAGTGTAATACTGCTGATCCATTGAAAGCCTTAGTATTTGACTCTACCTTTGACCACTATCGAGGTGTCATAGCTAACATTGCGCTCTTTGGTGGGGAGATTGCAAAAGGACAGAAAATTGTGTCTGCACACACAAAGAAAAGATATGAAGTTCATGAAGTCGGAATTCTGACTCCAAATGAACAGCCAACACATAAGCTGTAAGTAAAAACTTCTTACAGTGGAACAAATCATATATTGGGGTAAGCTACAGTATCCTGCATTTCTGTTTGATTTTTTCTTTGAGAGGTAAAAAGTGGGAGATGTCTAGGTTTTTGTTCTTCTTCTTTCGTGGTGGGTTTATTTATAATTACTATTTGCAATATAATGCTCTGTGCTATTTTTTATTTTGGGCACGCTGAGGCAGAAGGTTTTAGGGAGTGCTTTTTGGGCATTGCTGTGGGAGGAATCCATTAGGTTCTGTAGTACATGGAACATCTGGACAGCTAGGTGTTCAAAGGCTAGGGTTCGATATTCTTATTCAGCTGTCCAATTTATTTCTAGGAACTGCCTTGTTTGAGAGTGGAAGGGAATGGGGCTTCATCTTAGTAATTGCTGCAGCATATTTTGAGGGTGGAAAACTTAAAATCCATGAATGCAACAGCTTCCAGAAACTGGCTTCTCAATGGCAGCAGTGGGAAGAAAATCAGGTACTTAGAATTAGTGGAGAAGTTTTACCAGTTTGCATCCAAATACTTGTTAATGACTTTATTGGGGGCATTCTCAGGTTACATTATTGTGTCTGGTGGGTTGAACACAGCCAGCAACCCAGCCAGCTCCCTGCTCACTCCCCAGCCCTAGCAGGATGAGAACTGAGGAGGTACTTGCAGACTGAGATAAAGAGAGTTTAATAAATGAAGGGAAAAAAAAAAGAAATAAAAACAAGTCATGCAAAGTCCATTATTCACCACCTCCCACAAGCAGACTGATGTCCTGCTAGTCTACAATTAATAGCTACCCTGGAAAGACCACACTTCTTTTTTATTGCTAAGCATTATGTTCTGTGCTATGGAAGGCTCTTTTGGCCATTTTGGGTCTGGTGTCCTGGCTGTGTCACCTCCCAGTCTCTTGCCACCCCCAGTCTGTTTGCTTGCAGGGACACAGTGAGAAAGGTGGGCCTGTTCAGCAGTACCAAAACATTGGTATGTTATCAACACTTGTTTAAGTCACAATTCCAAAACACAGTTTCATACAGGGCTGCTCTGAAGAAAGTTATCCATCCCAGCAAAAACCACTACCCTGTGTTTTGCTCAATATTTACCATGTATTCCCTTCCTATTAGCATAATGTGCTGATAGAAAGGGTTTGTCTAGTTTCATCCTGCTGGTATATGAAACTTGCTGTGCTAGCAGTTGGGAAGTGTTGTGGTTTCTTTGTCTTAGGAGCTTCTCAAGAGTCTAGCTCCAGCTTTTAAACTGGGAGCAGCACAGTATTCAAAATCCAGGATAATAAATGTACTGTTCCACTGTAATGGAAAAAGAACGAGTTGAGATTGTTCACAACTCAGAGGTGAAACTACTTAAACCTCACTTCTGGACTTTGGATATGGGCTTTTAAGGGTGTGATTTATTTGAATTTCTGGCTGGGATAAATCAAGTAGGAAGATAGAGATACTGCTAATGCCAACAACCATGTCCATATAATAACAATTTTATTTAGCTATGCAGGACAGGTGGGGTACCTGATTGCTGGAATGAAAGAAGTAACGGAAGCCCAAATAGGAGACACACTGTTTTTGTATAAACAGCCAGTGGAGCCTTTGCCTGGCTTTAAGTCAGCGAAGCCAATGGTTTTTGCAGGTGAGGAGTAAATCAATATTAAGAGGAGTTACTTTTTTCCAGTGAAAAGAGTAAGAGCTGTTAGAGCTTTTAAAAGAAGACATATATATTAAGATTTGGGAGGATTAGAATTTTAGCTGTAGTGCATCACTTACGTAGATTTGTATGTTTTCCCTGTGACTAAAAAGGATTAGTAATAAATGCTGACTAGTTTTATATGAATGCAAGACATGCATTTTTGAAGACAAGCATGTATTTTTTCCTGTGATATTGTTTCTAATTCCAGTAAGCTCTTAATAGCTGGAAAAGAAGGGTTCAAATTTAAAATGAAAAAAGAGGGAATTCTTCATCTCGATAATCATGTTTCTGTAATTATTGTGTTGGTTTTTCTTCTTTAGAAACTTAGCAACTCTTTCATTTTTGTTAAACATGGTAAACTGCCAGAGCTAATACTCAGAATGATCCTGTAAAATATTTGACTTTTTGAGCTTGAATCGTTCCGTTGAGCTGTTGCCACTAGCTTCAGTAACTACTACAAATGCTACAGAAGGTGGCTTTAGAAAAAAAATCTGTAAATCATTTTCCAGACTTGTTGTGAAGCAGTGTGTAAAACTCTCTTGAACTGTCTTATGGAGACTAGGCAGTCTCTCAGGGAGTGTCAAAAAGTATAATCTTGTAAACAATTTTGTGTGCATGTGTATTGCTTCTTGATGTAGATGATATTTTCTGAACATAAAAGGATGTGAAAAGTGATACAGTAGAATCTGTTTCCAGAAGTAGTTATACAAACAGCTATTTTTATTAATTTCAAAAGAATAGAGAAATATTTGCAACTTTGAAATGATGGTATTTATATTTCACTCACTCTTAACTTTGAGGGAACATCTCAGTGAAATCTATACATTTACACTCCAAAACAGTGGTTGTACTCAAGTGTGAATCTTCCACAAATGTGAAGGATTAGATGAGTACAATCATCCTACCATTAGGGTTTAGATGTTAATTCTGAGGTAATCAAAAATATTTTTATGTTTTTACTAATTTTTTTTTGAGGAATAAAGAATCCTCATGTTGTTTTTCACATTTGAAAACAGATGGAGAAAGTAACTATTCCTGATTTCATTACTCTGTTAACTGTAAGTGGCATATTTGAAAGCCAGGTACACGGTAGGTAAAGCTCTCTGTCACATCATTTCTATTTAATATATTTTGACAGGAATGTATCCTATAGATCAAGGAGAATATAATAATCTCAAAAGTGCTTTGGAAAGGCTGACATTGAATGACTCCAGTGTAACAGTTCATCGTGACAGTAGCCTTGCCTTAGGAGCTGGATGGAGGTGAGGTTTTTGTGCTGCTTTCATTTTTGAAACTGCTCATAAATTGAAAATGCATGTTTAAGTAAACTGAAGGTAGCATTAAACTTAATTCAAAAATAGGAGCTGTAATTAAAATTAGTGATAGATAAAGGTCAAAAGCATTTGGTTTTCTTAACATTCTTTGTTAGCATAGAGAATGAAGATTTTTGTGATTAATAGTTTTTGTTCTCCGAGACTCATTATTCAACTGTAGGATTATTTGGTCCCTTGGAAGTTGTTTTCTCTGCCTGATATTGTCATACTAGAAGTGTAAACATGCTGGAGGATGAAAAAGACCACTGTGAGATTTCAGGGGATGCACTAATACTTTTACTAACAGGGTATTTATTTTCCAGATTGGGTTTCCTTGGTCTTCTACATATGGAAGTCTTTAATCAACGTTTGGAGCAAGAGTATAACATGTCTGTTATTTTGACTGCACCTACAGTTCCATATAAAGCTGTTCTTTCCTCAGCGAAGTTGATAAAGGTATGTTAAATTCATTAAAAAATTATATAAACAGCAGTTTAAAACCCTTCTATAATAAACATCTAGAGTATCTTTTTAAATGTAGGCTAGTGCTGTATTTTTTCATGTTAGAAACACCAGTATATTACTTAAGTAGTTCTTAATTTTTTCAAAGGATGTTAATAGTTCTTTCCTCATTCATGTCAAGCACTCTCTTATTATGTCTTATACTTTTCCTTAAAAACAGGAGTGTAGGACACATATCTTGCTGTATTCTTTTAAGTGCTTACTGACTGGACTGTGTTAAAAGCAGGTGAAACTATCTTCCAGGCTTTATCTGTCAGAAAACATGAATGTTTCTAGGAATAGCTTGTAATGATATTGTAGATTGGCTGTGCCTGGTGAAAGAAAGAGATAATTTTTGATCACAATTAAACAGGTACATGCTAACTTCATTACACTGGGTGTAAATAGAATTACTGTGTTTGAGTTTTAGGGAAAGAGGTAGACTTAGAGCAGCTGCTGACAGAGGAGGCTGCAAGTTGACTGGCTGATTATTCTGTAAATTACTAAAAACTTGTATAAGAAAGGTTACTGTAGTTGTAAGGTGTGAGGCATAGACCTTTTATCTCTGGTTGTTTTGGTTTCTTACCCATGCAGTATAGCAGCTATATCTACACCTTTGGTGTGTGATTCTGGATTGTTGATGTGGCATTCTTTTCAAACAATGCTGGAAATTGGGTTCCTGTCAGTGGAAATGATGTAATTGCTTGCTTTGGAGGAGAGGGAAGTTGCATTTACACAATAAGCAGCATAACCTTCCTTTTACCTTGGAAGGGTAACTCCAGCCCTTATTGAGATGTTGGACTGGAAAAATGACATAATGAAAGCACTTACACAGGAACCAAAACTTCATTTTTGAATCCACTTCAGCATGTGAGGGAGCCTGAACCCAAAGTTCTACTTAGAGAAGAAAGTCCCCACACTGAACTCCAAAGTATTCAGAGCAGGTCTTCTGTTGAAGCTGTGTAACTTAGAGGATAAGGATGAAGTAAGAAGGAAGATCCTCAATTTACAGGGCAGAAAGAGACCTGGAAAGATGGATAGAAAGGTTTTTTGCATTTCTATAATTTCCCAAATAAAAAGCTAATTTCTGTATAATGATATTGAAAGATATTTAAATGATTAAATGATATTTAAAGATATGCTGATACATTATAGAAATCTCTTCTAAAATCATCCTTGTTTTAAACTTGGGTTGCATAATGCACCAATGTTTTCAGGCAATTGAAACATTTTTTAGAATTTTTTCAATGCTATATTTGTCTCCTTTGCTGTTCATTTTGCTTACTTCTAAAATTACAATATCCGGTTTATTTGCTTGTTTTCAGGCATATGGAAAAGACCAGATTACTATTATCAACCCTGCTCAGTTTCCTGATAAACTTTCTGTATCAGAATATTTGGAGCCAACTGTTCTGGGTACTATTGTAACACCTCATGAATATATTGGGAAAATAATTACCTTGTGCCAGGTTGGTGTATAGTTTTAATTTTGTCTTTTGCATTTTTAAGTTCTTCACTTAAAGTGAAAACAGTAAGATAGTATGATTATAGATACTAGTACTTAAATAGTATCTCAGAAATGATTATTGAATACTTTTGAAAAAAAATAGTTTTTAACTTTTTATTTGTAAAATTCTGAACTACAGAATCCATGTATTAAAAAGTTAGTGATGAATCTCAGTGACAACAAAGCTCTTGGTCTGTACTGGACTAATTCATAGCTAGTTCTGTTCTCTTGAAAGAATGGAGTCTGCAGCAGGGGACTAAGATGTATTGGTTCTTTTAGAAGTATATTCATGGAAATACAACCTCTGCCAACACTTCTGACTATGTGTCCATGTATTTTTTTCAGTACTTCACAGAAAGTAAATTTCGGATAGTGATGACCAAAACACTTCGGCCTAACTATACTTGGAATACTTCTAACTGAAAATGTTTTACTTGTCATGCATATTGTGTTTATATTATTCACAATAATTTTCTTAGCTTATAACATTTCAAAATGCATAATACAAAGCAGTATAGTACTTGTATGTCAATACAGTGAAAAATAAAATCTATTAAAAAAAAATTTCTAAAATAGCTTTAAGAACATGCTCCTGGGAGGAAAAACGATGAGCCTGCAGGTCCTACTGTGGCAGCAGTTAGCAGAAACTATTAAGGATTTCAGAAATTAAGCATTTAGAGAGGAAAGGCTTGAGTTGTACATCTAGTTAAGGTGTAACCACGTCATTTGTTACAGTGCTGCAGCTTGTCCTGGGACTTCAACCAAACTACCAATAAGAAAGTTACTTTGGGGCTTAAATACAAGGATTCTCTTGTGTAGCTTGATTGTTGTTCATTTTAATTTGCTTTGTATTTTTTTGTAGAAAATTTCAAGGGAAACTGAAACAATTTTTATTTGTCTAGGATCGTAGGGCAGTCCAGAAGGACATGTTGTACATTGATGAAAACAGGGTTATGCTAAAATACCTCTTTCCACTGAATGAAATTGTGGTGGATTTTTATGATGCTCTTAAGTCTCTGTCTTCTGGCTATGCAAGGTAACTACCTCCCTTGTTGCCCCTTCTCCTCCCCCCACCCTGGACCCTGAAGAGGGGTGGCATGGTAAAAAAAGGCCTGAGGAACAGCTGTGGAAGGGCATGGGTGAAGAATATTGCTTTATGATGGTGCTGCAAATCTAGTCTCTCTTCACCTCAAATGGATTAGACTCACTGTGAAAGTAGATGGAAGTAAGTCTGAAAAACACGAAATGTGTGTCACAACCTAATAATCATTGTCTTTGACAATGTGTGTATTTTTCAAGGGCCCCCTCTGCAGTGGCACAGGCTCATCTGTATGAGTGACACCTAAATGGTCCGTCCTTGTCTGAAGTGACACTGCAATTTTTTTCAAAAGGAATCACTGAAACGGTACTACTTACTGTATGAACTGTCTGTCTCTTGGTGGAAAAAGGCAAACAACCACATTGATTATTTAAAGCTAGTAAAAACAATGTGGGACTTAAAACAAACAGTAGTTATTTTACATGCTTTATTCTGTAATGAAAGAAAATGGTGTATTTTGAGACAAAATTTTCTGTTGCGGGTGGCTGCCATGAATTCAGAGTCTAGTACAGTGCTCAGATGTTTGTGAAGAGCCTTGGTGAGTTTAATGGAAGGGAAAATGTTGCATGGCAATGAGCTTGTGCCCCAGGAGGCTCAATAGCTCTCACAAACCTGGCATGGTGAGATGTCTTTAATGAGATACGTTACACAATAGAAACCAGTATACCAAATTACATTATTTATTTTATAAACATAAAAATGAATTTTATTGAAGGAGTGAATTTGCTTTGAGTTTATGTTTTCTTTAATTATGTCTTATACTTACTCATGTAAGTAATACATGTTTTGCCCAGGTTTTTATATATATACATACAGCAAAAGCATAAGCAAAAGTGGAAAGGCAATGTACAAGAAATAGAGGGATGGAAATTTTGAATTTCCTCTCAGTATCTAGCTTTCTCACTACATAAAACCTAACCTGTTTATCAAGAACCTATATGTTTAGCAGAATTATTTTTAGCAAAGGGTTCCTTTGATTCATGATTGCCAACGATGTTGCATTATCTTATTTATTTGTTTGTTTGTTTTTGATTTCCTAATTGACTCCTTAATACAGTTTATGTATGTAGTGCTCTTGGTAATCCTTTTTCTGTAATATAGATCCAGTCACACATCTGTGAATTCTGTGAATTCTATCCAGCTAAGATAGAAGTACTTTGAAATAATCTCAAAGGATTTTTCCCTCCCTTTTCTGGTATTTCAGATTTGACCCAATAACAGTGGTATTGATAATCCTCCACAATTAAACTTACACACAAGATCGATCGATTGATCTATCTATTTATCTATCTATCTGTCTGTCTGTCTGTCTATCTATCTATCTATCTATCTATCTATCGATCTATCTGTCTGTCTGTCTGTCTATCTATCTATCTATCTATCGATCTATCTATCGCATACATTAACTCTGCATCTCTTGGATTCAATAAGAACTTTTGCAAACTAACACACAGACAGCAAGGCTCACACCTGCCAAAGAAGAAATCTGGTTTGGAAACTAAGTGAAAAATTTAGTTGTCAGAGACAGTGATAATAGTGGTCACATAAAAAGTTTGTCAAATGAGAGGATGACAAGAAGACAGTCCTAGATTAGTGTTTGTTCCCTGTGACATTCAGGATATTTACTGTTCAAAAGCTGTACTGAAGGGTTAATTAAGACTGCATTAAGCATGCAGGTTTCTAATTGCTAATTAGATTGGAAAGACATCCTCGAAGTCAAGACTACATCTGCATTGGAGGGGACATTATGTGCAGCACCTTTCTAGTCTGAAGATGTACTGAGAGACTATTAAAAACTGCACTCTCATTTTATTAAAAAGTTCAAATGTTTTACTAAGAAATGTGTCTAAAATTTATGGAACAAAGAATGCAAAATATAGTTTATGCAATATCCTGACTAATTTTTTAACTGCTTTTATTTTTTTTAGTTTTGATTATGAAGATGCAGGTTACCAATCAGCAGATCTAATCAAAATGGATATTCTTCTAAATGGAAATCCAGTTGAAGAACTGGCAACTATCATACACAGGTAGGTTGGCTGGATTCCTTATACAAAAGAAATAAGGCTTCCTATTATTAGTCAATGAAAACATTTTCTATTAATAGGACTGGATGATCTTAAGGTCTTTTCTGACCTAAATGATTATATGATTCTAAATGACTCTAGGTATATATATTACTCTTAATATGACAAATGTGTATGAGCATTGAAGATTTTTCTATATGACCACCTTCATCACCACTGAAAAGGAGAAGCATTTTGTAGTATGAAAATTAGGAAATACATACCATAATTAATAGCAATTTTTTACTTCCCTTTCTCAACTTAAGTACTGGATATCATATTTTTGTGGAAAATGTAGAGAGAAAGAAATGCAAAATGCCAATCTTCTAAAGGGCTTCAAAATTTTAAGTACAGACCAATCTAGGAGATGCCAGATGAATCATTTATGGTGCTTAATACTGACAAAAAATGGTTTTGTTCTCATAGAAATACCTGTTCCATAGAAGTTCGTTGTTACCTTGTTTACAGACAGAGTACCAGGAGAATGTAAATATCTACTGGATGCAATTACCTGAGATTTTTTTTATTAACATGATTAAATATCTATGAGTATCTCAGGCATTAGAGGTGAGAAAAATGCCTTTCTTGTTTCCAGCCTGTCCCCTGTCTTCTCACAAAGTTTTTACAAAGCTCCCTTCTGTAACTTCAGCATCCATTTCCAGTAATGCCTAGATAAACTTTTGTGGGTTTTTTGGTTTTCCTTCTTAAAATACTAATTTGTTGTTGCTAAATATTTGTGTATTTTCATATTTTTTTACATAAATGCAATCTTGAAATCTTTGGAATTCTGTAACTCCAGAAGGCTGCCACTGCATTTCCTACTCTGAAAAGATGCAAAATGGAGAGGACCACTCTGCAGAAGTTTGTTATTGCTTTAACACGTATTTTTTGATCAATTTAGCCCATGCCCTGAGCTGTTTTAACTCACTAAACTGACAACATTTCTTTTGGCTTTAGGTCTCTGTTTTTGGTTTATTTTTTTTAAACTTGTAGTTGCATTCATTCTGCTCTTCCTGCAGGTATTCTCAGTGTTCCCAGTGTAAAATCTGCAGCTGTAAGAATTATGCTGAATTACATTTATAGAGAAAGCATTACAGAGAGATTACTGTAAGCTCAGTATTAAGATAGTCATAATTTGTTCTTACAGTACAAGTAAATATATGTACTTCTTAAAAGTCTGACACTCAATGAACATGACTTAAGTACTTCATGTTTAAACTGTTTGCTCTATACAGGAAGCAAGGAATCACATTGTCACTACCTGAAAACATGTATGTTGGTAAAAAATGTCTGCAAATACGGATATTTTTATAAAGAATAAACCCTTTTCTTTCTAATGGCTTATGACAGTATCTGTTAGTAGCTACTGGAGACCTTTTGTTGTTTTCTCTTTCCAAAACCTGAAGCATATGCATATGCTGAATATAGTTGGATAATTTTTATTAGCAGATGGCAAGAGTATGTTAATTTTTTTTCTTGTGATGTAAAACCAGACTTTGAAAGCATTCTGTAATATATATATTTTGATTTCTTGGGCCTAGGATCAATGAAAATTCTCCTTGACCTAGTTTAAAATCTCACTTTAAACTGTGGCAGTATTTAAAACGTCTTCAGTGTGATGGATTCTCAGGGTGTTTTTTATAAATAGTTGATATGATGTTATATATTGAGGTTAATACAGTTTTATTACCTGTTTGTATGAAACAGGTAACATACAGACACCACTTATTAGATGCAAAATTTGATCTGATCAGCTTATCTTCTGAGTTAAGAAGAGGAAAACCTCTACTAAAATCCTTCAAAGAGTTTGATTTATGGATATATTTTTAGTGTTGCTGACCTTTTTTTTTCAGTGATAAAGCCCATGCTGCTGGTAAACTCCTGTGTGAACATTTAAAAGAGACGGTTCCTAGACAGTTGTTTGACATAGCCATCCAGGCTGCCATTGGCAAGAAAATCATTGCAAGAGAAACGTAAGTGAAGCCCTTCTATTCCCCTTTTTTTTTCTGTCTATATTTTAAGATATGTAAAATACAGACTTGTAAAGTCTTACCTAGTTTTATACATTACAGGACTTTGATTTTGCTATAAAGTTGTATTTTTCTTGTGTATGCTACTTGAAGAAAAAAAAACACATTTGAACAGTGACTATTGACTAAAGATTTTGAATTAAATTTACACAAAGAAATTGTATTTTTATTTTAGATTCCTTGTGGTCAGAATTGCATTTAGTGGATAAAGTGTAATTTGCAAGACCCATGTGTCCACTTCCTCTTTGGCAGTGGAAGAAGTTTCTTACTACTGAAAAAAAATAGCTACTTGAGGAATACTTTGCTGTTAGTCAGCAAAAAAATGACTGATTTGTGCTGTTCCAAAGGAAATGTGTTGCAGCTGAACACAAAAACATTTTCCTAGCACATGCTTCTTTAAAGCAAATCATTTCCTTGATGTTGTGTTTCTCATCACATTTTTGCTGTTTCAATAGGATTTAACTTGTGGTAAAATAGTTAAAGGTCAGAATTCAGGTAGAGGTGCTTTAAGAATTTGTTTATATATGTATATACACACAGATGTAACACTTCTTGTGAGTCATAACAGAAAGTCCAGATAAAAAGGCAAGATTGTGATTTCTTTATGTACATATTATACACTGTAAGGAATGTTTCTAGAATTGAAAACTGTGAATTACATATTCTGTTTAAAATTTCATCTTTTGTATACAAAACCTGAAAATGTTATGATTAAATTAATGCAAGATGCCAAAGCATCTTACAAAGCTAGTGGAAAAACAAGTAACATTTTAACAACTCAAGTACTTAGCTTCACATACATATGTTCTAATATGTTAAAGTGTATGTGTTACTTTATTTTTCAGGCTTAAAGCTTACAGAAAAAATGTTGTGGCAAAATGTGTAGGTATTTTTTCTCTCTCTCTTCTTCATGATTCTGAAATTTGTAAACTTTAAGAGTCTTACTAAGATGATAGTAAGATAGATCTCTTCCCAGAAACCCAGCAAAGACATATTCTGCTTGTGCTCCTAAGTGTCTCTGGAATTTGAAGATACTTTTAAGCTTTTATTTTAAAATCCAACTCTTGTAATCTCTTGCTGTAGCTTAAAGAGTGGATCAGATAAAGTAACGGCTTTTTCAGTCACATATTTTTCAATGTCTGTTCACTCCCATCTCCTCATCATTTTCTAATAGTTGTAGACATGCAGTAAATGTGTGTGTGTGTGTGTGTTGTGTACACACAGGCATATAGGTAACTTTGTGTTTCCTAAATTGGTTTTCAAGTTATAGAAGGAAATATAAATGTGCTTCATTTGAGACTAGATTGTGATTAAATTTCTACTCAGGTTTGCAGTAATACACTGTAATAAAGCTTTAACTGTGCAGTAGTTGACTATGGACAAGACTCAACAAAGCTATTGGAAAACTGTGATGCCTCTTATTTAGCTTGGATTTAACTCTCTGAAGTGAACATATTGGAAAATACATTAAACAAGTGTCCCTTTCTCACAACTGTAATTCTTCTGCTAGGCACAGGTGTGGGATGGTGTCTGTTCAACAGTGTACAAGGGTTCAGTTCATTTTTCTAAATGTAAGCACCTAATGCCAAGTCAAGATGCCTCAATGTATCTGAGCTGGCATGCTGCTGCTATTCCAAGGGGATTTGGATCTAATGTGTCAGCCAGGCTTACAGCAATGTATATATTTAGGTGACTGAGTTCAACACACAGTTGTCCAAATTAAGTGCTTATTTGGTTCCTTGTCCTTTTTAACTAGTGGCCTTTAGGCCAAACTACTTGGAGTATAAAATAATATTTCTGTCAAAATATAACCAGCTTTTCTGACTATTTTTAAACCCTTGAGTTTTGTGTTGCTGGAATATACTGTAGCTGCAGTTGTAGTTTAGACTTAGTAATTTTTATTTTTTTTCACAGTATGGTGGAGACATTACAAGAAGAATGAAGCTTTTAAGGAGGCAAGCAGAAGGCAAGAGGCTGATGAGAAAAATTGGAAATGTTGAGGTTCCAAGAGATGCCTTTATACGTGTTCTAAAGAGAGAAACTGACAAATAGAGATCAGTGACATCTGATCTTCCAGATCATGTCAACTTTTTGTAGACAGTATCAAAGTGAGCTAATATGTGATTTATCACTGTGAAAGGGAACATACTTGACTTTAAATGGTATGAATTCAGCATGTGTGGGAGGATGAATTGAAAGGACTTAAAAATGTACATATATTTGTAGATTATTATGAAATTAAAGTTACTAAACTGCATTAGAAGTTCACATTGTATTGTTTTTCATGTTATTTCACTGCTTCCATACTTTTAACACTTAAAATTAACATAATTTGGGGTTTTTTTTGCATTGCAAGTCTATATGAGAGGAACCATATGGCAAAAAGGTTATAAAAATAATTTCAAGGTATGTATAACAATGCTGTACTGGTTTGGTTTTTTTCTTTTAAAATTTGAACTGTCAGCAACAAAGGTATCAAGCTATTTCCTGTTTTACTTTCTCTACAGTTGCTGTTGTCAGGAAATTGTGATGCTAGGAAACCACATCAGATGAAAAAAATCAACACTTTTTTTTAATTTAACACACCGTTTATTTAAAACCAGTTGAAATGTGTAAGCTTATCACTAGTTCAGCTCAGCTATGCTCATCTGCACAGAAATGGCAAATTTTAATATATTAAAAAACTTACACTTTTCCACTAGTAAGACCAATTCAGGCCTTAAAGAATTTATTTATCATGAAGGTTTGGTTTTAGCATATCTTGGTGTAGTCAATGAAGTTTTATTTATGTTTACATACTAAATTTTGTCAGTGAGTCCCCAGTTAAATGGTGTGTAGTGTATGTGACAAAGTATTACTTTTGGAAGTGTACACAAAGCAATTATAAACATAAGTTAATGACCCTACTATATACTGTATTTACAACTGTTTACCCACCTCCAAAAGCTTTTAAGCTGCATTAATTTTTTGATCTTCAGGGACTAGTTTTGCTCTCACAGATCTTAATCTCTTGTTATTAAATATATTTTAAAGAGCAAATTGCTAGTCATACCTACTAAAGTGCTCAATCACCAGGAAAGTCTGCCCTTAAATTTAGGCTTGTACCTACACTTTAATCATAAACTAGTTGTTGTATTTCAGCCTGTGTACAAGGATGAATTGGGAAAATCTTTGGAGGGATGGAATTGAACAGGACATGTTCAGAACATGTTCCCTTTCAACATATATTAGTTCAAAGTACAGAGAAAGGGGAAATATTCTGATACTTTAATAGTTTGTTGGGGCTTTTTTCTTTTGTTTGGTTGAGGTTTGTGGTTGGGTTTTTGTTTTGTTGTTTTTTGATTATTTTTTTTTTTGAAGCTGTTTCAGGTGCACTGAAAAACCAGCAACATCTGGATATGAACAAGATATCTGTACCTCTAAATAAAGGTACCTAAGCTGCTGCTACTGACCCTGAAGAAAGGAAGGATGCGATGGATAAAGGCTCTCTAACATATTATTATTCCTCCTCTGTAAAAAGCTAGCATTAAAGAAACCACAGATGCAGGGATACATGCTTAGGAGCAAAGCAGCTAAAACAAGGTCCTCCCCACTCCTTGAACTAGACCTCTAAGAATGCACTGGTTCTGTACTGAGGAACAAGGCAGAAGACAAAGGTAAGCTAGAGATTATCCAAACAGTAAATTATATCCTTGCTGAGTGACACTCAAATATATGTTACCTAATTAAATGAGTTACACCTATGGATAAAGTCTTGAGAATCTGTTTTAGCCTTATTATGTGTCACCTGAGACAGAAAAAACATACAAATTTTAGTCATAATATTTGAATTTTTGAATTTCAAAACACCTTAAAATGTGAAGAAGAATAAAATGGTAACCTTGATATGCTAGGCTAATTTAGAATTATAAACTTGCTTAGCTGTAAAGGCTAATGGCAAACCTAACACTGCATTTTGTCATACATACCTGCAACAGCATTCTCCTGAAAGGCAGTCTTTTCAGCCTTTTTTCCCCACATTGTTGCATTATTCTTCAAAAATACACGTGCATAAACTGAGCCTTAAACTGAAAACCTGTTTTAAATGTGTGGATGTTCAATGTACAGTTGAGAATTGGAACACTAGGCCTGGCTTCCTGCTTTGCTATAGACAGATTCTTCCATGCTTTTCTAATTTCACAGAAACAGAGAACAGTCCAGATTTTAAAGAACCCTGTAAGACCATTTGTGAGAAAGGTGAGCCTAGATGAGACTACCACAGCCCTGGGGAGACAATGTGATTTTGTAATAAAGACTACATGCTTGTCATTTAAGTGAAAACTTAAATTGTTGAAGTTAAGCTTAGTTGCACTTTCTTGCAGTGAGTATTTCACACAAGGGCTTTCCCAAAAAAAGTCTTCATCAGTAAACTCTTTTCTTTCTCATTTGATGCTTAATCACTCCCTGAAATTCTAATGTATTTACTCATAACAGTTTATATTAGAAATGAAACAATTTTGAAATGAAGAGATTTATATTTAAGTTTTACTTATATTCAAAGTAGGAAATAACATTCCTTGTAACAGCTCAATGTTTATAATGATACAATGAAAGAGTGATTAACAGCTGGCTTAAAATGATCATTTGCAGACATTATAGGTCCTGTAAATTAACCTCTTTTCAGGCATTCAATTGTAACATCAATTATATAATTGACCAGGTACCTCCAGGAAGGAACATTGAGATTTCTCCTTCTGTATAAAGCTTGATTACCAAAAATACAAAAATCCTAAAGTGATTTGAAGTACATGAGAGGAAAAAGTGCTGTTGTTGGAAGTTTAATGTTTTTATCCAAGGAGCAAGTTGTAACTTTGAAGAATTTGGTGCGTTTTTAGGCACTGTTTTTGTATCTTCATTTGCCTGAAATATACAGCAGGACTTGAGATGCCCAAAAACTGTTTAAGACAAATTTAAGGCAACCAAGTGCAAAAGCTCAGTGTACATTTGATATATGTAAACAGAACATTTCATAGTAGAAATTGTACAACTATTACAAGTCCATAGTATTAACAAAGGCCAAAACCTTTCTGCCTAGAGACACAAATGCAAAATGTAGTTACACTAACCAAGCCAAAAATTAAGAATTCTGAGAAATGAAGTGTCATCATCTCTAAAATGAGGCAGATGCAATACATAGCTGTGCTAGAGCAAGTGCTCTGCTTTTCCTCTATCTACGTAACATGCAGTCTCTCCCAAGTTTGTTGTGTTTCATTTAGTGATGAACCAGCCAACAGCAGAGCTCCAAATGTTAAAGCAAAATGCACAACACAGCAAACAGATGGAATGTGAATGTACAGATATTGGACCTTTTTAAAAATACAGTACCTAGGATTTGCCATTTTAAACAGTTTTCAGCATATTGCATAGCAGTGAACTCATCTGCTACCTAAAACTGTGGCTGCTGACCCACATGGAGTTCCTCTTCAGTCTTCTTTCAGTTTTCTTTCATACTGTACAGTGGGTCCACAAGCTTATTGTGCACATGCATTAAACCTTGGGGGGAAAGCAACAACGCCAGCTTTACATTAGTTATACTTGTTAACATGTCCTTCTATCCACATTTTTATTTGGAATTGGCTTCAAAGTATACATTATAAATAGTTAATTGAAGAGAACAACAATGGCTATTTAAAGTAGTTCAGAATCAGAGACAGTAGATATATTCCTGTATCACTCGCATACTAATGATATATTCAGTATCAGCTGAGCAGGGACCAGACAATTCTCTGATAACAGACCCAAAAAGCACATCTGGAATACTTCCAAATGAACTGAATACATATTTTTTTTGTGTTTTAAAAACTGTCTTAACAGCAACATAATTCACTCACAGCACAATTTGCCATAAAAATAAGATGCACACATAGTGAAACTTTTATCTTGAGTTCTTTTGCAATGTTCTAGCATTATGGTAATACTGTCTTTGTAGTAGTCATGTACTTGTGGTCCTAGACAGGAAAAATCAAATTAAATTATCCAGACTCTTAGTGCAGACTCATTTTCAGCAATTCAACTGTTTTCTGTTCTAGATAGGCGCTTTTTTTGTCAAGTCCTCCATAGCTATGATTAGGGGGTTTCCTCTTCAACTACTTTAATTCTAGAAAATGCTGAAGTGCAATTAATAAAAAAGATGCTTCCTTCTTAACTTTTCTCTAACTTAGTAAAAATGTTACCTACATCTAGGTATGTATGACATTGGATCACTGGCAGGTTTTTAACCTCATTTCACCTTGAGGACTAATAACAGTAATGATCAGTGTTCACAATCTGCAAAGTAAAAGTCCATTTTAATACTGAACTAAAGATTTGGCTTCTAAAATTAAAATACACAACACTAAAAGTAGTTTTCTTAAAAACCATGAAAGAAATCTCACAGTACTGTGTATTTTAGTGTCTATGGCAAAGAATATTCAAATACCTTTGCTAAATGATGCAGCTGGTGGCAACCTTAATGTCACTGCAGCAACATGAAATTCGAGTTAACTATACAGTCTTAAGGTCATTACTGTAGGTGACCATAAAAAAAGGCATCTTATGCAGCATCTATTACTAATCACTATGTGATTATTTAATATAAAATACAGATGTTAGATCAAGTCTAATATTTTTTTCAGTTTAACGGTGACAAAAACTTAAGTATACATTTGACATAAAAGTCATTTGTCCAGAAAGAGTAACAGCTGCATACACTACGCAAACTAGAAACATGTTGTGAGCTTTAAAACATTTAACTTTCTACCAATATTTTCCTCATCTAAAAAGGGGAAATTAAAAGGAAATAATTACTCACTTCCTAGATGCATGAAAAATGGTTACAAAGTATTGCTTCTGTCTTACTTAATGAAGAATATTTAAATCCTGTTAGTGAAAGTGTTACAGGAAAAATAGTGAGAAACAAAGTATTTTTTTACAGGAATGCACCAGAATTGGTAGATGCCAAAACAATTATTTCAAAGGAAAGTCACACTGTATATTCAAGTATGCTTTGAATAAACAAATTTCTGCACAGTTTTAAGAGGATACATACAGCATAAGTATGGAAAAAAATATCCTGAACTAACTTATCTGCAGGCAAATTAGTAAATTCAAAATTAATTTTCTGTTTCATTCTTCAAGAAAGTTATTTTCCCTTTTACAGCAAGACCATAAGCACACTTGATAATTTTAGCCTGTTATAGGTTTTCAGAAAGTTAGAAAAAATTGAAGAGGTTAATCTGTTTATCAGCCAGTGTGGCACTTGATTATAAAACAAAAAAATTGAAGTTTCATATTGAAAGTTTTAAGTGCTGAAAAGTCTCCATAAATCACTACCATAAACAGCAGTATTAAGAACAACCTAGCTTCCCTAATAAGTCTAACCTGAAGATCAAATTCAGAAATAATTCCAAATTTGATCCATACTGATTTCTCCTCCATCTTATAAAGGGAAAAAATCTCACTGATTGGAGAGTAGGTAAAATTAAGTAAGTTTAAAGTACCATCTTTTTAAAAGTTCTATTGCTGTGTATTACAGGGTAATTAGATACAGTGACACAATAGCACACATTCATAAATTGTAGCCCTTGATGTTTTTTAAAGCAATGTTCAGTGTCATTTATACCTAGTGATTCTACATTAGATTTGTATTTCTCAAGCAAAGCCTCTGCTTATATAAAATACAGGATAACGTTTAAAACTTATCCAAGCAGTTAAAGAAGTTTATCTTTGAAAACAACAGTAAGTACTATCTAGCAGTATGATACAGGAAGAGACTGACCTTCCCTCCTAGCCCACAAATACATAGCAGAGAACAGCATACTGAAAAATCCAAAATTAACAAGCTGGCCACAAAGAGGTACCAGGATAAAAATCACAGAAATGTCCAAATTGCAATCTAATACATATATGAGCACTGCTGATACAATGCTCTAAGAAATAATTTAATAAATTACGGTCTTGATACCTCAGCTACTACAGGTACCTGTGCTAGTAAGAAAGACAGCTGAGTCACGCAATTGCATGTGCTGTGCTAATAGAGTCAGGAGAAAACTACTTTTCTCAGCTTCTACTGTCTGAGTGAAACAGAATTCAGTCCAAGAAGTCTCAATTACTATCATATATCCTGATTTACTTTAAGTTTGGCCCATTATACCTACTACAAATATGAAAAACACACACATTAAAAGGGTGCTATGTTTTAAAAGGCAGTATAGATTGTTATGCTAATTGCATATGAAAAATGTCCTCAGGTGGCTTCAAAGTCTGTATCACAGTTTACCAGACATCACATTACAGCACATAGCAAAAGCAGCATGGAAATGTATCAGGATTAATAAATGTATTAAGATTTTTTTAAGCTAAACTTTCCAATATACTTAAGACCTGTATTCTGGAACACCAGATTGCTGCTGTTTGAAGTTCAAGATAATAAACTATTGTTTCAAACTGGAAGCAAAGGAAATACTCTTCCCAATTAGATTTGTCTGGAATGGAGGTAGCACAAGTTATGCCTCCTGACAATTTTCCAAACATAAGAAATAAGTTAATATTTAATATTTTGACTATATAACTTTATACATAGTGTCTGCCAAGTGTTGGAAGGCTCAGATTTAAATCAATATAATTTCAAAGCTGTTGGTTATGAGTAAACACGTGACCTCTGATTCAGTGCTCACCTTTAAAGTACTTCACAGTTTTAACTCTTAGTTCTAAAGTAGCATCTTCATCACACACAAAGATAGTGCGAGGGTGTTGCTGGAAAGCAGAAACTGTCCACATATGATTGACTCCTTCTTCAATTGCTTTGTACAATGCAAAAGCCTTGTGTGCACCCGTTATAAGAATCATCACCTGCGAAACAAAGGTCTCTTTACTTCCAATCCCAGTATCAATACCAACTAATCTTGAAAACACACATGCAACTAGAACTAAATGAGTTCTTACTTCTCTAGCATCCATCACTGTACCCACACCAACTGTTAGCGCCATAGTTGGTACTTTAGATAAGTCTCCATCAAAGTATTTAGCATTTGCCAAAATGGTGTCCATCGCTAAAGTCTTTAATCTTGTCCTTGAAGACAAACTTGATCCGGGTTCATTGAATGCAATGTGGCCATCTGGACCAATGCCTTTTCAAAGTTAAAAAAAATAAATCATTCCAGACCTGAGGGGTGAACACATAGCCTAAAACATGGTAAATTAATAAAAAAGGACTCATCCTTTCCCTTTGGTTCCCCATTTTCAAGAAAAACTTGCTTAAGTCATTAGTAACTTGGACACCAACCTTTCTGTTCGGGAATTTATACTGA